CCCCAGACTGACAATGCAGCTGTCTGCAGTGCCTCCTGTGCTACTTAATCCAGACTGGGGGCACTCTAACACAGGAGCAGGGCGGACTGACCATTTGGAAACTCGGGCACTGCCCGAGGGCCCGGGTCAGTAGGGGGCCCCATGAGATGCCCCTGATACCTTTTTCATAGGCTTTTTTAGTTTGGGCAAGGACACAGGAGCCCCATGATCCCCTATTGCCCGGGGGCCCCATGAATTGTCAGTTCGCCCCTGCACAGGAGATAATGGAGGTTTATTTCACACCAATAAATACTTACACAAGAGCTACTTTTAACTATCACATGACATAAACTTATTTTAGAAAGTTCTTTTGTTCCCTCTAAACAAAACTTGAGTTTAATTCCAAAACCTTTTTGCATGGCTCCAAAATCAAATATGACCGCACCCCAACACAAGCCATATCCTGCAAATCATTTCTCTGCACAGATTTCTTGGTCTCCTTTTAATTTGCCAACTCCAAGTGAAAGGAATTCTGAGTAATTAAAAAAAAAAGACATTTTTAGTCCTGTCATAAATATAGAAAATACACCCAGATTTACTTTTCTCCTTTTGGATTGAATCTATTCTTTTGCAAATAAGCCCCCTCTGACACAAACAATTCATAGCCCATCAGATGATGTCCAGGCTACTTCAGACAACAACAAAACTTAGAAAGCAATGTCAATGAATATATTAATCTTCACAATAAATTGCTCTTGCTCTTGGTGACAGCAGCAATGTGCCAAAGACACAATCCATCACTAGCAGCATCGGACACAGAAAGAGAAAATCACAAAGACAGTGAACATATCGGGATAGCTTACTCCATCCAAAAGTATAATCTCAGATATGTATGGGTGATGGCTGATGGACTAGGTCATTCACTGCCTTCTTATATCTCCGTTACCAATATCTTCCCATTATAGTTGCCACTCCAGTAACCTGGAATTTGCCCTTTTTGGATCCCTTTTTGATACCTTTGGATATTCCAACTCCTCACACTGTATTCATCAGAATAGTACATTTAGAGAAAAATTTAACAAGGAAAGAGGGATGTGGGACATGAGACCCAATAATGGCAAAATCAGGAGTGCCAACCCAGGGAAGCAAGCGAGAGACCTCACCACTCTCTGACTGCCTCCAGTCCAACCACTCTTGTGATCACTTGTCAACTGTCTGAAGGATGTCCATAGTCCCTGAAAGGCAAAGGCCCCTTTCCCACGACCAGTACATTCAAGTCTGCCTGTCAGTTTTTCAGGCGGACCTGATCAGAAGGTCCATTCATTTCCTGTGTACACCTGCCTACCTCCAGGTCATATTCGGTCTGCGGATAAAAAAAAAAATGGAAGGGGATTCGTCCTCTTCAATTATGTGGAGTGAATCAGAGGGTAGTCAGGTGTAAACAAACAGTTGAGTCTGTTTTCCCTTGGCCACCCAGAGAGCAGAGCAGGCCCTGTCCATGTTTGCTCTGCAGAAACTGACAGGACATGGATGTGTCATCCACCCACTCTGCTCCGATCAGAAGGGGAATTTGTGAATGGAGTCTGCCCTGTGTGAAAGGGGCTTTATGCAACATTTTACACACTGAATCAGGGATGAGTTCAGGTGTGTTTGAACATGAGGTGTGTTTCACACCAGGAAGCTCGCAAAGCAGACAGCCAATCACAGTTGACGCCCTTTGTATAAGTGAAGCTGTGGAGCACCTATGATTGGCTGTCAACTTTGATAGCTTTCTGGAGGAATAGCTAAGGCTGGCCATACACTATACAATTTTCTGTCCAATTTCTGCCCAATTTCCTTTAGATTTACCTTCAACTATGTAGTGCAAGGGCCTGCCTAATTGGATACAATTGAAAGTGTTGTTTAGGTTTGACCTCCTATTATATGGTGTTTGGTAAATCTAAAGCAAAATTCTTAATAAAATTGTATAATGTATGGCCAGCCTTAGGCAGGCTCAGATTAGCGTCTGAACCCACCTGGACTCATCCCTATGCTGAATATTATGTGCAGCCCCTTGTAGGTGTCAGGCATCACAGCTGAGGCCCCCTATTTCTAATAATTTGATCCACACTACCCTAGAGAAAAACTGTCAGTGCATTCACCCTGAAGAGGGCAAAAGCCTCAACAGTGCAATGAAAGTCAACACTTAGGCTGACCATACAATACACAATTTTCTTGAGATTTTTGGTTTAGATTTACCAAAAACCATATAATAATAGGAGATCAAACCTAAAAACACTTTCAATTGTATCCAATTAGGCAGGTTCTTGCACTACATAGTTGAAGATAAATCTAAAGGAAATTGGGCAGAAAATTGTATAGTGTATGGCCAGCCTTTGTCACATAATGACTTTTCATTCATGTCACTGCACAGCAGCGTGGTCCATTGCACTGCAGTATGCTTACAGGTGGTGCTGTCCGGTGTGTTGCAGTAAAATTCAGACAGGCTGTATTTTCCAACACTGCACCTCACCGCACATCTCACCAGTATTGTGGTGTGAACAGGGCATGTCCCCTTTGAAGTGACCTGTATTTATTCAGCTAAAATGCAGGTCACTGCAGATAGTGTAAAAGAGCCCTAAAGCAGAAAAGCATTTTTTGTGTGCAGGAAGCGTGGATAACTTTTTAACTTGCAAACCCAAAAAATAGACAAGTGCATGTAATCAGCTGCAAAATATAAAATGAAAGGGATCATCATATCCTAAACTATAAATCTATGGTGTTTGTGCGATTTTCACCTTCAGATTTCAATGCAATTTAACTGGAACATCTTTTGCTTTATTAAGTGAAGGATTGTAAAACTTTCTCCACCCACAACTGCACTGGGATGACAGAATCACCTGCCATCATTCTGCATCTCCTGGACAGATTTCCTTGGCAGTTGTTTGACACAATGTAGGCCTTATCCTCTTACAGATGGACCCCCAATTATTTATTCTGCATTAGGGTAATCCACTGGGGAAATCAGATCCCACCACCTGGCCCTAGAAGAACTAAACTACATGAGTGATTTTAATCTCTAGCTGCTGAGATATTTAACTACTCGCTGGCAGTCACCTTATTGGCTGGCGCTACACAGGAGAGTTTTAGAAGCTCATTTGCACTACTTAAATCACTACGGATTAATCTCTGAGGCTAGCTACATACTATTCCGGGCCATGTAGCCCACGTTTGCTTGGACACGGCAGCCCACTTATTTGAACGGGCTGCTGTGCTGCATGTCCCACACAAAAAGGGTGCATGCGCCTTTTTAAAAAATGCGGCAGCAGGGAAACCATATGGTCTTTTTGACTATGCGGTTTCCCTGTGATTCCCGCACCCGCAATCAGGCTACAAGCTGAGAAGTGTGGGGGAGCCATTCAGAATGAATGGCAGCCCTGCACGTCTTTCAAGAGCAGCACAATTCTGCTGCTCTTACAAGAGAACCACTGCAGCCAGCACAGCATGAACCAGGGCTAAAGGTGCATTCACACCTACACGTTGCAGTAACACATCGGGCAAAGTGTGTCAATCCAAAGATCTATATGCAGTGCCAGCCAATGTGAATGGCACCCCAATGCACTGTACACTAGTTGTCAACACATGCAGCACACCACAATGTACATACCACATATTGTGCATGTACATTCATTTGTCCATTGAAGTGTGTTGGCAGTTTATTTCATACTAAATGGAATGCCTTAATGCAATGCGTGTTAAAATGAGTGCAATAATGCACTCCAATGGACCATAAAGGTATGACTGGGACCTAAGACCTTATGCACACTGGGAATTTAGCCCTGGTGCATGAAGCTCCAGCATTTAATTGCAGCTGGAGGACACAGGCGTCCCATCCAGCCCCACTGCCATCAGCCTGTCAACCTCTATGAGAGTCTGACAGCTATTGCAGATGGACAAGGCTGGACTGCGATATGTATGGTTGAGGCAGTATGCACCTGAAGACATATGCCCAGAATGCAATGGAATGTATTCCAGGCATTCATGCCTGGGTGCATACTGTCCTAAATGGAAGTACAATTTAGTGCACCACCCAGCCGCTCTCAGACTCTCATGGAGTTGACAGGCTGCCGGTAGCAGGGCTGGATGGGATGTCTGTGTCCTCCAGCTGCAACTTAATGGAACCTTACACATCAGGGCTGAACACCCATCGTACATGAGGCTTAAGAATAGTGATCCATCCAACAAATGTATCCTGTGTTGGAAGCTACACAGGCAGCACATTGTAGAATTTAGTAATGATGAGTCACACACAGTCTTAGCATTGTACAATTATAAGAGAAGAATATTTAGCTGTTTGTTTGGAGTTTAGCTTAAAGTATAACTAAAGGCAAAACCTTTTTTTCTAGTTTTGGATAGAGTGGAGAGGGATTAGAACCCCAGACAGTTTTTATTGCTGTCTGTATCCCCGTTATGGAGATTGACCCTCTCTATTTGTCCTGTTTGCCATTATCATCGAAAGTGAAAGTAAAGAAAACCCCAAATTTTGGGTTGTCACCAGGAAAGTACTAAAGGTGAAATTTTCCAACAGGGACACTAGTTCTGGTGACTTGGGGGTGCCCAAGGAATTCCCTTAATTTGTAGGGATTTTCTATCACTTCCTGTTTTGTCTAGGGGCAGGAAGTGAAGGTAAATCTCCCCAACTGGACACAGAAGGCATTTTGTCAATGTATAATATTTTTCAGCCCTTTGCTCTTATTGTGTAAACAATTAGGCATTATTCAGACACACAGTAATAACGTGCAATGCAGATGCAACAAGGAAGGTGAAGGGCGTCATACACATGCTGTGGCTGCAATTCTTTGCTTCATGGCCGTGGAAAATTTAAGTCAGTGTGTTGAGCGGACAGCCAGCAGCACCTGTCAAACTCACCCACTGAAATCCACGGGACAGCACTGCAACCGCCAGCCAAAAACTTTGCTCATGGCTGTAGCACAAAAATTCCATTCAAAAATGCCATTAGGCCAACATTGTTTATAAAATTCTCAGTCTTCCTGCTCTGTAAGGCTAGGTTCACATATGTGCGGGTGGTGCCGCTGCGGATCCGCACAAAAATCCGTGCAGCCGCACCGCCTGCACAGAAGAATGCAGACCCGCGGGAGGGTGCACCGAGGTTCCCGTGCGTTCTGCGTTTTCAGAAGAAGTGCAGGGACTTCTTCCCTGTGTGTCCCAGGGCACGGGAAAATGAATGGGCTCTCGTGCCCGCGCAAAACGCGGACCGCAGGAATGCAGATATGTGAACCAGGGGTAAGGCTACGTTTACTAGCCTTGTGTGCAGGCGGCAGAGAGGCGTTTGGGAAGCGTTTTTACCGCTTCCCAAACGCCTCTGCCAAACTCTGCACATTACAGCACATGGTGCTGTTCTAACAGGAGCGTTTGCGTCGCGTCGCGGCAAAACGGACACCTCTGGTCAAGTCAGGAGGCTTTGAAGCCTCCTATTCTCGTCTATGGTGCCGGCGTTTGCGGTGCGGTTGCGACGTGGTTGCGGGGTGTTTGCGGAGCGGTAACACCACTCAAATGCATTATAGGCGTTTGTGGGGCGTTATTAACGCTCGGCAGACGCCTAGCAACCGCCGCTAAACCGCGCATGCGGCGTTTGCGGAGCGTTTGCCGAGTGTTAAAAACGCTCCGCAAACACCGGACCAACACTTGCCAAACGCTATAGGGGCGTTTGGCAAGCGTTGGCAAAACAGCCTAGTGTGAACGAGCCCTAAGAGCCCCAGTTTTGAACACTCTTCTCTAACTGTCAAGGACCTCAACCAGGATATGTTTTCCAGACTTCCAGGCACCAGCACAGCTGCCTATATTAGTCACAGTTAAAGCAGCAAGCAAACCATTTCACCTGGGACTGTGTGATGAGCTCTGGAAAACAAGAATCCTTCAAATGCATACACATAGTTCAATGCTGCCTCCTGATTTTACAGCAAGCAGCAAGTTTGACCATTTGATTTACCATCACAAATACAAGATCTAACTTTCCCAGAAAACTAAAATAAATTTGACACTAAGAGCTCGTTCACACTTGGCTGTTTTACCTATAGCATTTGGCAAGCATTGGTCCGGCGTTTGCCGAGCGGTTTTTTAACGCTCAGCAAATGCTCCGCAAATGCCACATGCGCGGTTTAGCGGGGGTTGCTAGGCGTTTCCCGAGCGTTAAAAATGCCCAACAAAACGCCTATAATGCAGTTTGAATGGTGTTACCGCTCCGCAATTGGCCCGCAAACGCGTCGCAACCGCACCGCAAACGCCACCCGGGCATTTGCGGAGCAGCACTATAGACTAGAATAGGAGGCTTCAACGCCTCCTGACTTGACCAGAGGCGTCCGTTTTGCCGCGACGCAACGCAAACACTCCCGTTAGAACATCACCATGTGCTGTAATGTGCAGAATTGGCAGAGGCGTTTGGGAAGCGGTAAAAACGCTTCCCAAACGCCTCTCTGCCGCCTGCACACAACGCTAGTGTGAACGCAGCCTAAGTCGATATAAGGGCCAGTTCACACTAGAATGAGGTGTGGGAAACCCATGTTCCGTGCACGTTTCCCACACCGGATTCAAAGCGCACTGCACTTGCGACCTGCAGCAGGTGTCAGTGTTAATTTAATAAGGTCGCATACACATCCAGATTGCATGTGAATTGTACAGGGACACATAAGGCGTTACTGTGCGATTCATGGTGTAAACCAACCTCTAGGACTTGTTCATGCCATGGGGGTTATTTGCTAAAAGTGGAGAGTGCAACTTCAGGTGCAGCTCTGCATAGGCACCAGTTTCCAGGTTCTATTTCTCACACACATTGGACATTTTTACAGCGGCTGTTTTTGCCTTTTGGTGATTTTTTCTACATCCAGTAAACTCCCCAGCATGTTATCCTATGTGACCATGCACACAGACTGTAATCAGCGCTTTTTGGCAGGAAAAAAAACCCAGAACTAGTGTATTTCTAGCGGAGTTTTTTTTAGCTGTAAAACGCTCTAATGCTGAAATGTGGAAAACCGGTGTTTTTGGACTTTTTTTTTTATTAAAAAAAAAACCCCTATAAAACATGGCAAAACGCCACTAAATTCTACTGCAAAAACACTGAAAAACGCACATTTTTAACACGACTTTACACAGCTAAGGTTACCAGCATTATTAAAATGCCTAGTGTGCATGGAGCCTTATTGTCAAAGCTTAATTGAAAAAGCTGAAGTTATGCAGGCCAAAGGCCGTTTTAAAAAAAAAAAAAAAAAGGAAAAATCGGTCATTCAGTAGGCCGACGTTACCAACAACAGTAAAAAAAAAAAAAAAAAAAAAAAATCTGCCAATTTTCTTCCCACCTACGGCCGGCATTTAATTACTTCTGTCCCTTGCAGAGAGCGCCGCTATTACATTTGACATGAAAAAGTCTTGCGGTTGCAACAATGTATCTATTTGTATCCATTTTGGATACAGATTTTTTTATTCGGATAAAAATAGATACATTGTTGCAACCGCAAGACTTTTTCATGTCAAATATAATAGCGGACTGGAATTCTTATTCTTCTTTTTCTTCTTCTTGCAGGTCATGGCTCATGCGCAGATTTTTTTTATCGGTAAAACGATCGGCCGGTTTGCCCATCATTGCCAGGAAAATCAGCCGATTGGCAAAAACCGGCAATTTTTTTCCAACTTTACGATAAAAAATGTGCCAAAACCCCAAAAAACGGCCGACCAATTAAGCCATTAACGGTGTGAAAATCGGCCGTTTTTTTTCGGCTGAAAAATCGCCCAATTTTCAACCCGTCTATGGCCTGCATTCCTGCATTAGAAGCCCATTGTCTACCATGCACAGCTGCACCAGATTCAGAGTGAACCAGTTTAGTAAATCTCCCCCCATGTGTCACCCAAGGTTCACATCTGTGCGGGTGGTGCCACTGCGGATCCGCACGAAAATCCGTGCAGCCGCACCACCCGCACAGAGAAATGCGGGCCTGCGGGTGGGTGTCATTAGTTCTAATGGCACGCAGCCCACACTGGAAAATGCAACCGTACTGGGAACCAAGGTTCCTGTGCGGGCTGCGTTTTCAAAAGAAGTGCAGGTACTTCTTCCCTGCATGTCACGGACACGGGAGTCCATTCAAATGAATGGGCTCTCGTGCCCGTGCAAAACACGGCCCGCACAGCCACATATATGTGAGCCGGGGGTTAAGGCCAGTTCATACCAGTGCATTTTAGTGCAGCTGTAAGACACAAATCAACTGAAGAACATCTGAAAAACCATTTCCAATGTATCTTATTCACACCATTACGTTGTGTTGCACTAAAATGCAAAATGTATGTCAACAGATGTCAAATCGATGGAAATGTACATACATTTTAGAGCAAGTCAGTGTGAATTGGCCCTTAATCTGCACAGATCAATGCAAGCTCACCACTATGGCATATTAAAAACAGCTGTAGGTGTTCTGTGGTACTCAAGGATAAATAAATAAGGTGCAGCGCTACAATGTCAAATGATCAATAAACTATAGCATAAATATTGCACAAATATACAAAGGTGCAAAACATAAACTCTATGAGTGATAGAGGTGAGCACTAGCAGTAAGCTGAGTAGCAGTATACGGAAAGCCAGTTCATATAAGTGTAAAATTGGTGATAATTCATCTGAGTGGAATCTCAGGTAAGTGTTCTGTGAATATCCTGGTGACGTGCCGTGAGAAATGTAAAGAATGCGCACTCACCAGAAGCGCAACCTTTAAGCGCATATGTGTAAATGTGTATCTCCAAGGTATCTGCTGAAAATCTCCTTCAGAGCTGAGTCAGCCTGGTCTGGTCATAAACCGATATAGATCCCCTTCCCCTGGGCGGTTCTGCAGCACCTATGGCTCCACTCCAGAATGGGCTCTGTACAGGTATCCTCTCATTCTCTCCTTGTAGATCCTCCTTCTTCCTACCCACAGAAGGGACCTTGATGACATCACATGGTCATGTTCTGTGGTACTATTCACTCCTAATAGCATCCCACTGTGCCTTGCTAACGCTATAACTTTTGCGCAAATCGATCAATATACACTTATTGGGATTTTTTACCAAAAATATGTAGCAGAATACATTGTGGCATAAGTTTATGAAGAAATTTAATTTTTTTATTGGATATGTTTTATAGCAGAAAGTAAAAAATATTGGGTTTTTTTTCCTAAATTGTTGTTTTTTTTTGTGTTTATAGCACAAAATATAAAAAAACCCAGTGGTGATCAAATGACATCAAAAGAAAGCTCGTGGGGAAAAAAAAAAAGACATAAATTTCATTTATATACAGTATTGCAAGACTGCACAATTGTCAAAGTAACGCAGTGCTGTATAGCAAAAAATGTCCTGGTCAGGAAGGGAGGTAAATCTTCCGGAGGTCAAGTGGTTAATGTAATATCCAATCCTGTCTTGCTGACAATGTTTTCACCAGACAGGAAGTGAGGGGAAATATGCAAAAGAGACCCACATGGAAAATAAAAATCTGACAGGGGTTTTAGTCTTCCTTAGTCTACTAAAGAAGTGATGCTGTGGGAGAGATCCCCCTCACGTCCTGTTTGGTAAAATGTTGTCAGTAAGACAGGACTAAAATAGGCCCAAATAGCAGTAAAAAACAGACTGGTATTCTAACCCCTCCCTACACTATCCAAAACTATTTACCAAAAAAAAAAAACAAGTTTTAGGTGCCGTATATTATAGGGACTCACTCACACTATCTCTTTATCTTTAGATGCATTGAGTTGGATGGATCAACACAAGGCCACATAGAAAGCAATTTTTTTTCTATGTGCCCTGTCCACCCCACAATGCTACGTTGAGGTGGGTTCTGTAAAAAACGTAGTGCAACTCACCACAACACACTGCAGGCAATGAACTTGAATAAAATGTCATTTTGTGACAAAAAAAAGGTACACAGCACATATAACTGCGCCTTACCTCCTTTGGGACTGGTGTGAATGAGCCATTACAGTTTCTTGTATACACTCCACAAAAATGTGCGCTGTGGCTATGCAGAGAAAAGAATGAGCTCATTTGATAAGGCAGTATAAAGTTCTGACACCCAGCTAATCAGATTTCGGTCTGCAGTATTAAAATCAGTGAGTGGCGCCCAGTTGCTATGGGATACTGCACTGCCAACACCAACGCGCTTTGATGAACATAAACTAAATATTTCCAGAAAACAATTTCTCTCAAAGCCTTAAAAGTCCCAACACATTCCCTGACATACACACAGCTACTACAGCTATTGGCAACCGGCGGAGATGGACTTTTCAGGATGGTTATAGCAATACAGACTGAAATATCAGAATAAGACAGGAAAACATAGGACAGCACGGAAAAGAGGAGGCAGATGAATCAAGCCCATCATGGGGAGGGATTATTGCTCTTCATTTCATGGAGATGTATGTATTATATACTGGCTTCTATATATAGAACAAGGGAGGTATAGAGCAGTGGGGGATCTACACACACTACAGAATATCCACACTATACAAATACACAGAGGCAGAATGGCAGACCTATAGGCCTGGGGTGTGTATGGAATATATGCGAGCTGCAGGTTATAGTATACAAAGATAAAAAAAAATCCACAGGTAACCTCAGGAGAAATACAGGTTGCTCTGGAAAAAGACTGTCTGATTGTTTCAAGGAGCACAATACGATGATAGTTGAACAAAAATTAGCTGCATGGTTGAGTTGCCAGAAAGAAGTCTTTACTGCGCCAAGGCCCGGTTACAATATGCCCAACAACTCCTTGCACACACCTCATAGCTTCTGGCACACTGTAATCTAGAGTGACAAAACCAAAATAGAGCTTCATGGTCACAACCATAGGCACTATGTTTGGAGAAGGGTCAACAGCGACAAGAATAACATCCCCACTGTGAAGCATGGTGGTGGCTCACTGATGTTTTGGGGTGTGTGAGCTTTAAAGACACAGGACAGGAATCTTGTGAAAAATGATGACAAGATGAATATCGAATGTTATCAGAACTGTGTTCTCCGAGAATTCCAGAGAACTGAGCAGCGATCATTTACTGCTGGTTCATAAACGGACACCTAAGTGGTTAGCACTTCTGCCTGGCAGTATTAGGGTCGCCGGTTCATATCCCAACCACAGCACCACCTGCCTGGAGTTTGCATGTTCTCCCTGTGCCTGCGTGGGTTTCCTCCGGGTCCTCCGGTTTCCTCCCACACTCCAAAGACATGCTGGTAGGTTAATTGGCTCCTGTCTAAATTGGCCCTAGTATGTGTATGTATGAATGTAAGTTAGGGACCTTAGATTGTACGCCCCTTGAGGGTTAGGGACTGATGTGAATGTACAATATATATATGTAAAGCGCTACGTAAATTGATGGCGCTATATAAGTACCTGAAATAATAAATAATCATCAGAAAATGCTGGCAGACAACTTGCATTCTTCTGCACAAAAGCTGAGCATAGGATGCCCTTGGACTTTCTAGCATGACAATGACCCTAAGCACAAGGCCAATTTGACCCTCTAGTGGGTTACAGCAGAAAAAGGTGAAGGTTCTGGAGTGGCCATCAGTCTCCTGACCTTAATTTCATCTAGCCACTCTGGGAAGATATCAAATGTGCGGTTCTTCCATCTTCACCTAGTCTTCCTTTCGGGTTCATATGTTACCGGACAGCAATGTCGTCACTCCCCGCGCCGTCCATTGAGAGCACAGTGCATGCGCCGGTGATATCACCAGCGCTTCTAGAATAAATATCTCCTAAACGGTGCACATTTAGGAGATATTTACAGTACCTACAGGTAAAATATGAAAAAAAAGGAGTTTGCTTACACTTTAAGAACTAAGGGCATGCAGACTTTTGAATAGGGGTCATTTCATTTGTTTACTTATTGCCATGTTTTGTTTTATGATTGTGCCATTCTGCTATGAGCTACAGTTAAATATGAATCTTATAAGAAATAAAATAAATGTGTTTTGCCTGCTCACTCATGTTATCTTTAAAAAAAATGGTATATACTGTATATTACCAATTCTCCAAGGGTATGCACACTTTTGAGCACAAATGTAAATGAATAGAATGTGAAGAATAGGTACAGGGCCAGCTATTGCTATGAGGGATATAGGATTAATTATGATGCCAGGATACATGTACAATTTGTATTACTAGATATGTATGATACCAGTACAGTAAGCAATATACACAGGGCTAGTTATATATGACTTATGAGGAACATGTGGAATACATGTAGTGTCTGATACCAAAATATATGAACTATATGCAGTGTTAAATACACAGCTCAAAAAAAACTTAAAGGAACACTTTGTAATCAGAGTATAGCATCAAGTCAGTTAAACTCCTGGGATATTGATCTGGTCAGCTAAGTAGCAGAGGGGGTGTTAATCAGTTTCAGCTGCTTTGGTGTTAATGAAATTAACAACAGATGCACTAGATGGGCAACAATGAGACGACCCCCAAAACAGGAATGGTTTTACAGGAGGAGGACATTGACATTTCTTTTCTTACTCATCTTTTCTGACAGTTTTTCACTAGTTTTGCATTTGGCTAGGGTCAGGGTCACTACTGGTAGCATGAGGCAATACCTGGACCCTACAGAGGTTGCACAGGTAGTCCAACTCCTCCAGGATGGCACATCAATATGTGCCATTGCCAGAAGGTTTGCTGTGTCTCCCAGCACAATCTCAAGAGCATGGAGGAGATTCCAGGAGACAGGCAGTTACTCTAGGAGAGCTGGCCAGGGCTGTAGAAGATCCTTAACCCATCAGCAGGACCAGTATCTGCTCCTTTGTGCAAGGAGGAACAGGATGAGCACTGCTAGAGCCCTACAAAATGAAATCCAGCAGGCCACTGGTGTGAATGTCTCTGCCCAAACAATCAGAAACAGACTTCATGAGGGTGGCCTGGGTGCCCAACATCCTCTAGTGGGCTCTGTGCTCACTGCCCGGCACCACAGAGCTCGATTGGCATTTGCCACTGAACACCAGAATTGGAAGGTCAGTCACTGGCGCCCTGTGCTTTTCACAGATGAGAGCAGGTTCACCCTGAGCACATGTAAAAAACGTGGTATGGTAGTCTTAGTATTTATAGTACAGGATGTATGGGATACTGGCAGTACTGGGTATGTGTGAGAACAGGATACAGAGAATATTTGCAGCATTTGGTAAGTATTATACTGGTATATATACAATATCTGCAGTATTGGGGAATGTAGAATACTAGGATATACAGATTATTACAGTAACAGG